TTTTTATTTCTTTAAGCATTAGCAACCCAAAACGAACTTTGATAGTTTTGTTTTGTAAAGTTGTCTGGGTGCTGAAAGCTAAAAGGTAGGAAAGGACAAATTTGGAGGCCATGCAACCACAGTTCACTCACATAGTAAAAAACTCTTGGACATATATATATATATATACACATCAATATATACATACATATATATATATATATGTGTGTGTATGTGTGTGTATGATATATATATATGTGTGTATATGTATATATATATATATACATGTATACACACGCACACACACACACACCCAAACCCCCCAATCCCGAAGCCCCCAACCATATATTCACAAAACCCTACGCTACTGATCAAAAAAACACTTTGAAAACTGATGCACGAAATCCTAATGACAAAACACACGCCTTCGCGGCCGAAGCAGCAGCCCTGCGTACACCGCCTGAGTGCTCTCCCGGGAAAAGCTTGGAGAAGTCCGGTGCATTAAAAAGGGGCCTACTCCGATCGTTGGGGTGCCCCTAAACCCTAAGCCCTGTAAACCCTAGCTACAGCTTTGGGCTTTCTACGCCTGGGCGTTAGGACGCCGACCTTTAGAGAGCTTTATGGCTTTTGGGGTTTAAGGGCTCAAAGTTTCAGAAGCCCTCGCTTTAAGGAGGGCACCCCGTAAGGGCCGCTTTCAGAGTTCGCTTCGGAGCCTGGGAGTTCGGGGCTTTCGGGCTTCAGGGGTTGTTTAGGGTCTAATGAGGTTTAGGGTTTAGGGTCAGAGGTTTAAGGTTTGGGGTTTAGGGTTTGGGGCTTTAGGGCTTAGGGTTTTAGGGTTTAGGGTTTAGGGTTTCAGGGTTTCAGGGTTTAAGGTTCAGGGTGCAAGGGCGACTAAACGGCTTCGACCATAATGCCATAAGGATTACTACTTGGGCTCAAAAAGGGGTGGTGGTGGTGACGGAAAATGGACAAGAAGTAGTACACGAAGGCAGCCTAAGGAATGGTGGCAGTGCTGCGAATTATTTGGACGCGTTTGTTTAGCTTTCTGCAAGATTTCCGCTACAGGTTGTAGTCTAAATACCTTTGAGGAACAAGGAACCCTAAGGAATAGCACTGTAAATGATGAGGACCGCAAATATTTAGTAACCCCGAATCCCTACATTTGAAGGAGCTCTGGCTTTGAAACCATTGCGCTGCGCCCTTAACCCATTGTTTTTCAGAAGCAAGTAGGTCTTTTATGGGGCTAGGGTAAACAGACCACCCCTGTAATAAGCCCTCAACCACCAAACTGACCCCTACACCCTAAACCCTAAACCCCAAGTTCCGAAAGCCCTACGGTGAATGGCCCTAGGCCCCAACTCCCCAAAGAATAACGCCTAAACCGGAAGCCGGCCTAGGTATCTCTGCAGGTCTCAGCTTGGAGATGGGACTTCGGGGTTCACAGGTTCAGGGGTTCGCGGGCTCGGATGTAAATGTAGCGTTCAGGGATTACGGTGTAGGAGAACAGGGATCAGGATTTGGTGTTTAGGCTGTAAGGGTTCAGGGATTGAAGCCCTAGGCCGATGTCCTGAAGCCTGAACCGAAAAAGGTTGAGACCTTCGGGACTGTCTCGGTCACTACCTAGGATTGCAGCGATCACAGGCCCTTTTGCATCGTGGAAATTGTCGCTACGAATATTGGGCGAAGAGTGCAGCATTTCAAGGTTTTGTGGAATGATGCTGGGCTCTAGGTACGGGGTGATTCTGCTGTGCATTGAAGTTGAAGCAAGCAGTATATTGGTTTTGAATTAGGTGGCGCTCCCGCGGCGTCGCTGCTAGATGTGCCAGACATGGCCGTCGTTGTGGTCGGTAAGCTGTCGGGGCTGTCGTCGCCGTCGTCTTAGGCAGCGACAAGACCACCAACCGCAGTCATGTCACAACCACCAGCATTACCGCCATCATCATCAGCAGCATCATCATGATCATCGCCATCATGTCTATCCTCGTGATCAGCATCACCATTATCGTTACCATCACTATCATCATCGTCACTATCACCACCAGCATCGTCAACAGCAGCCTCAGCATCATGCTATGACCACTATCTGCATCATTGCCCGAACTTCTGCGAGATCGGGAATGTTGGGGGCACAAAATCAGCTACCGAAAACCCTTCAAGATTCAGCGGAGGAGCACGAAGCACCAATGAGCCGGCGCAGGCTGAGACCCATCTTTGGGGACTTGGGGCTCTTAGGGCTGGGAGCTATAGGTGGGGGTACAAACTGCCCTAGGCTAGACAAGAAGGAAAGAGCATTGCCAACTTGCTGCTCTCATTATGGTCGCTTGTGCCAAGGTCGGGGACCAAAACCCTGAAAAGAAAGAACATCAACTGAAGGTTTAGGTGAGAGTGGGTCTGAGGGTTCGGGGTATTTCGACAGCGTTCGGATTTCATGCAAAGGGTATGCACGGGATTTGGGCAACGAAGTGGTCCAAACGGGCATGCCATGTCAAGGAACAGGTCATGGAACACCTACTGGACATGGAACACCTACTGGGATTGCAGCAGCCAAAATTGATTCTTTTGGACTCTGTGCAGAGATATGTGAGATTATTCCACATGCGAAGGTCTCATGAGCTGTGGACTATGACTTGGGACAGATTGTTTCTCTATGGTGCTTGATTCATTCAAGGCTTCGCTACGACGAAGCTGCAACCGTACAGGGCGAAAGGAAACCCTACTAAACGGGACTATGCATCGAAACTTGTGACTTTCGTAGAACTGGAACCCTAATCACACATGGAGTATGCCATGCAGGTTCTATCACAAATTCAATTTTATCGTAGACCAACACTGCATGCGGTCTGTGGCATCGCTAACCCCTGACACTATATGCTCCAAATATTAAGCCTAGAAGACTAGTCACAACAGCCTAAACTGTATGTGTCACTAGACCCTATATGCTGAATCCTCCAACACTGGAGTCCCTTCCTGTCCAAGCACGCGTTAGCTGAGTGGCTACGTGAAGCTCCGCAAATATGTCTATAGCTTTTTTCCACTATTGCTGCTGTTATTGTTGCTTTCTTTACTGCTACCCTGTCTGACACATGTACCCTAAAGCCCAAACGGTGGCTCTACCATTACTTCATCATCTGCTGCATCCCAGCTCTCGGGAACTTCTGAGCGTGCCTTGCACGCCCCTGGAACTGAGCCAAACTGCGACTTCAGCGATGGCACAGGCGGGAGCCGTGCTTGAGCGTTTCTTAATGGTCAAGGGTTCGTAAAACTGATGACGGCGGCAGTCCTGCAGGACATTTAGCCCTCGCAACTGCACAAATGAACCCTACCAACGCAGAATTGGTGTCCTAACATGCGACCCAGGGTTCTATTTTCCGAGGGTTGACAGCTTCTCTTTTTTCAGGGGGCTCAGGGTCTTTGCGGTCTGAAGAAGGTGGTTCTCGGGCTGGTGGCATTTATGAAGGATTTTCTGGGATTTCAGATTTAATTAGGCTTTAGGGGTTATATAGGGTTCAAAGTTTAGGGTTTAGGGTGTCGGGTCCATCCAGGGTTCAGGTTTGACCGGATGTTAGGCCGAACCTTGGGCTTACAACCGGACCCTCTGTTCTGGAAAATCCCATTCAAATCAAGTCGACAGGCGATACATTCCATGAAAGAACATCTCGCCAGATGTTTGTGCGCCTTTGCACAGACGAATGTAGATGATGTACCCCTTCTGTGTAAGTCAAGCACGCTGCTTGCTTCAATCCTCAGCAAGCTGTTATATGCCTCTAGCCTTGCAGTACCACAGCTAGGCACTGAGGAAAGAGACCACCACTATAACCAAATTAGGACCCTGTATACTCATATCAACTACCTGAACACCGAAGACCCTAGTTTTTAGGGTTCCTTACTATGCTTTCCTTATATTCAGGGTCCTGGCAAACCCCTAAACCCTAAACAAACCGGACCCAAGCTATCATCAACCCCCTTTTAAAAGGCTCTCCAAGCTCGCCCTGCTCTCGGCCGTGTCGCCGTCGACCTGGCGAAGACCAGGCGAGCCTATGTCTGGGAGGGTTCCTGGGCTCCCTAAGGGTTTCATAAAGTTATAATACGACAAGCTGTCCAGGCTTCTACCTGGTTTAGGGCTGTATGCCTTTGAGTTTATGAAGAGTTTAGGGTGCAGAAATATAGTATTTTGAGGGCTGAATGCGAAGCTCAAGGGTTTTACGGTTTCAGGGCTCCCGGGCGAAGGGAATGGTATACAGGTCTGAACAGACAAGAAGATGCCGTTATAGTCCCTGTATATTTATACGACAACACACACACACACACGCACGCACATACAAACCCCCATCTTGAGTGTTGAGGTCCCGAAACAAAGCATGGTTGCAACCATTTCCAGATCATAAGTCATTATTGCTGTTTGAAGCACATCCCTTTACGTGATAATCTCCTGAACCCTAAACACTTACAGTCTATGAAGATCCCAGAGAGCCTCTTCTGTGAGGAATATACTGTATAGCTCTAACCCCCAGCCCTGAACCCGAGAGCCTAAACCTAAGGCTTTGGCGCCTAGGCTACTAGGGTCATATGTTGTAAGCTATAATCAGCAGTCAGGGGGAGTTGAGTCATCTCAGCGGCAGCCCCAAAAGCTTTACCTGAATTATAGCAGGGTTATACAGTTATACAAGCCCCAAAAAGCTAGAGCTTCCCTACATGGCCCCTCAGTCATACGTACTATACTATATTGTGTATGATAATACGTTCCAATATACTAGATTGTTCGAAACAGCATAACATAATCTTCTAGTCATGCTGCTTCGCCGACTTCGAGTGCCACTGCTTCGGTCAAGCACAGTATGGTTCGAGTGCAGCAAATTCGGTTCTATAAACCAAGCCCAAGGGGGGTTAGGGTTTAGGGTTGAGTT